GCACCAGGCGTGTGGAATTAGATTGCTGATAGATGTGCCTTGGTCTCCTCCCCAGGCTCCAGATAGAATCTGTGGGCTCTGCCAATCAGCACGGTAAAGCAGCCTGGATGGATGGTGGACCAGCGTGAGGCCCGTGGTGGCGGGAGGATGCGGGTCCCTTGCAAGACGCCCTCCCAAGGGAGCTGAGCTCACCCAGGCCCAGCCATGCCCTCGGGTAGAGTCCCAGGGCAAGTCTGCATCTGCCCAAGGGAGGCTGCAGGGGTTAAGAGAGAGGCAGAGGAGGAAAGAAAAACAAAGAAGAAAAAGAAATGGAGAGATTACCTTTGAGGAGACTTCCCCTCCAGGACTTTGGTTAAAATGTGATGGTTTCAATGAAAGAACAGATGATGTCACCTCTTCTCAGACGTGCCCTGTTCCACATAGACTCCCATCTTTACTCCCGTGACCCTGGAAGCATCACTGACCCATGGCAGAGCCAGGGTCACCTGTCTCCCGCCTCCCCTCCCTCGGAGCCCCAGGGAGGACCACCCAGCGGCTTAGTGATGCTCACTAAGCAGGACGTGGAGGGGTTGGGAGGAGCTGGGCAGAACATCCACCCAGTATGTGCAAGGACCTGGGTTGCGTCCCCAGCACCTCAAAAAGAAATAAATGATCACTCTGGAAACCGGAGGTGATATCCAGCAGTCACCTCCACGCTGCCGTATTGACGCTCAGTGACTGTCACGTGACGTCTGCCAGCTTTTCTTGGCTTTGCCGTGTCCCTCCTGCCCCAGGTGTGGGTCCGTGTGGCTCTCCCCACACGTGTGCAGCCTCTGTTTGAAATTCTAACCCCCAGGGCGTTCCTGGAGTAGGGTGTTGCTGTGCCCCTGGAACGCGTCCTAATGCTCAGGCCTGTTCACAGTGTCTGTCCGTCCCCCCCCCCCCCCCCCCCCCGTGTTTGCAGTCATACCGCTGCGTGTCGTAACCGTCTCAGGAATAAGTCGCTGAAGCCGCTTTAGGTAAGTGTGTCTGAATTCCTAACAGAGAATTCCTTGCACTGAGTCCCCAGAAGCTGGGGCACAGAGCTGGGGGAGGAGCGGGCCCCTGCCATCTCCACGGGAGGCGGGACCTCTGTGCCCTGGCCTGGGAGCCGCGAGCGCCATCCCCGTTCGTACTCTTGGTCTTAATGATTCCCCAGCTGATTTTGGCTCTTGCTGATTTGGTAAAGGGAAATGTGAAGAAAAGCTCAGTGCCCAGGTAAGCCTCTGGGAAGTGTCCAGCAGCAGCCCCGGGTCTGAGTCTGTTGGGAACTGGACCTCACAGAGGCCACCATGCAAGTGAGGTCTGTCGGGGCCACCGCAGTGATTCTCTTAGGGTCCCTCTTAAGTCTGTTGTGACCCTTCTAGAAAACGAACATGCGAGTGTGCAGTATACACTCTGACAGATGCATCGCAGACAGGCATGGATGCTGGCACGTGGGTGGCCTTCTGAACATCATCCGCAGTGTGGCTCATCCTGCTCACCCTCACCAGGACATCTTGCTCACCCTGGGGATTTTTGTGTCAGCCTGTGTTTCCTTCTGGTTTGCCGTCACTTGGCCATTGTCTCTCCCAGGGCCACTGTGTCATCTTTTGTGCACAGCGGGCATCTCATGTCCCCTGGCCCATCCTATGGGTCCCACCTGGCACCTGGAGCGACTGCTGTACCCCAGCAGCCCTCCTGTGCAGGCGAGTAGGTGAAGATTCCCTGGGGTCTGAGCCCACCATGGGTGTGCAAGAGTCCTGTCCTTGGCAGGCTCTTGCTCCTGGCTGTGTGCAGAGGCTGTGCCCCACAGCGTCTGCTCCAAAGCAGGACCAAGACATTGCCTGAGTCCACCTGGCATTGCCGGGAAGGAATGAGTGTATGCAGGACCCCAGGATTCTTCAGAGATAATATTGTCATGAGAATCAGGTGGGACAATACCTTCTGTTGCTTTCTGCTTCTGTGAGTGTAAGGGAACTATACGGTCATTTATCAAATTCTGAAAAACCTCACGTATCCAGCTTTAGTTTCTCCATCTCGGGGCTGTCCCTCGGCCAACCTGCCACCTCCTCCATCGGGGCTCTGCCCTCCACTGATTCTCTGGGTGTGAGGTGGCCGGGCTGCACCGGGTGCCAGGGCTTCACTATTCAAGTTGCCAGAGCTACTGGGGGAAAAGGATGAAGATGGCTGTGTCCAGCCACCCTGTGCCTGCCCCTGTCTGCACCAAGTCGATATGCAAATGCACCCGGAGGATGCACCCCGTTGCTGGAGCCCAGCCTGAGGTTGGCACCCTGGGTGCCACCGAACCGGACTCGAGCAGCAGAAAAGGAAGGTGAGGGAGGGAACATCACCTCCGAGACCCCCAGGCCAGGCCTGAGGCCGGCCCTGCCAAGCAAGGGCAGGTGGATGGGCCCATTGGCCATGCTGAGCGGCTGGACAGGGTCAGAAGAGCTACCACGTCCCGTGCTCCAAAACCTCATTGCTCTATAGCACTGTCCTTCCTCCTCCATCGACAATACAGTGGAACAGCACTTGGGGATTAATTGCAGAACAGCTATTTCTGGGCAGCTGGAGGTGATCTGTTAATCACAAAAGTTAGGAACAAGTTAGAAAAGCTACTTAAGGGCAGTTCACTTAGTGCTCTTCTTTTCCCCTCTATCTCTTCTCACCCACTAGAAAACTCCTTGCCTTCATGACAAAGGACATCCTGGCACGGGTGGCCTCAGGGTCCCCTGGCACTGACCATTGGGTTAGCCATTGTGCTGCCTGTGTGGGGGGCATTCTCAGGGGCAGGCAGCCTTACTGTGGGGTCACCCAGAGCAGGAGACAGATCGGGACAGAGGGACTTTGAGCAAGAAGATATCAGCTGTGGTGGGATGGAGGGGTGAGCGGAGGGTGACTGGACGCCTCTGTTTTCAGAAAGATTCCGAAGCTAACAAAATCACTGATGCACATCCTAAGTTCTATTCCCAGGGACAAGGCTCAGCCCAGCCCTCCAGCCCTGTCCAACAGGAGGCACCTGCTGCTGCCTGCCAGGGTCCTTCTAAACTCCAGCCCGTCAGACCAGGTGTGCGGTACCTTGTCCCCAGCTGTCCCCGTGCACATCGGGGAGCACAGACTTGCAGACCTGCGTGGTTCCTCCAGCCTCCCCCCTTCTCCCATCCCCTGGTTTCCATGGGAACCTCTGATGCTATTTTCTGGAGTCACAGATTACTGCCACAGGCTAGGACCCGTGGGGGAAAGAGCAAGCTTCCCGTGAGTGACAGGTCAGCTCGGATTCCATGGGCCAAGGAAGGTCTTGGTAACCCAGGGATTTGAAAGGCATTTCTGTGTGTCTCCTCTAAGGGATTCCGTATTTCACTCCTAAGACCTCGATATGGTTGAACTTGGGAATTATTTCAGGTGAAAACTCCAGTGTTAGCATCATTGGGTTTTCTGCTTAAAAAAAAAAAATACAAAACTTTCTTCTAGTACTCTGATCTCGGTAAACTCTGCCAGGGAGTTGGGAAGAAAGGCACGCAGTGGGGAAGGCTGGAGACTAATCCTTCCCTGGCCTGCGACTGCCCAGCCTCGGGCCGTGTGTATAAGATTGACGGCATGTAGAAAAGGCACCAGGGAGGCCAGAGGATTAACTTTTATTGGTTTGTGAAAATATCCGTTCTTAGGGAAGAAGTTGAACAAAGTTGAGTTTTCCCAGGCTCCACTATAGCAGAGCAGAGTCGTGTAATGCTTCCTTTTATGCTCCATGTGCAGGGCAGGGAGATGTTGTACATCAGCTTCCATCAGGTGGATGCCCTTTGAAGGGATGGTGTGCAGAGGGCTGGCCTCCTGCAGCCTCTGAGCCCCTTGCTCTCTCTGAGGTGGAGGCAGCAGGGTGGGAGCACAGGGACCAGATGGAATAGACATGTGGAGGCCACTAAGCGGGTCCCAGATGTCTGGGCAGCTAAACATTATATGTTCCTCCATATAGGAAGCCAAATATGAGCCAGGAGTGTCCTTCTTGATGGTGCTGAGGTTTGCTTTGTCACCTGTGGGGGACCTTGTGAGATGCAGAGGAAGCCGTGACAGCCTCATTCCTGGGGGCCTGGCCCCAGGTGCCTGTGCTCCTCCTCCTCTCCATGTGGCAGGGGACTGTGGGTCTGGGCCCCTTTGTCCTTCTGAGTCTGTGAGAAGTCAGAAGTCTTCCAATGTCGTGGGAAGGGATGTCACTGAGGTCTGAGATCGACCACTGCGGGTCCCCCCTTCTACCAACCCTTGTGAGCTTGTGGGCAGAGGCACTTAATTCAAGTCCCCATGCCACAGGCGTGTCAGCAGCTGGACAGTCCCCATGCACACCGCACGCCCATGCGGGCACGGTGTGCAGACCCCGCTGAGGAGGCCCCTGTGACAGACACCCCTGTGCTCCTCCTGTGGCAGTGACAAGACAGGATCCAACATGGCCTGAGAGCCTGGAGCCTGTCCCCTCCTCCACACGGTCCGCAGCACAGTGTGTGCCAGGCTGTAAGGTCCATGGTGCAGACTGAGGTGACGCCGTCTCACAGTGGGTCCTGGTGCTCGGTGCGCTCGGCTCGTTAAAATCACCTTCTCAGGTGGCTCTCGTCACCTGCCTCAGGTCCCCTCTGAATCAGTGACAGCAAACGTCTTGTTTTAGCAGAAGGTGGATCCGCGGGCCCTTGGCTGGGAAGACGGAGCTCAAGGGGCCACAGGAAGATGCATCAGCCACCATGTGTGGCTGACTACGGTCCCCAGTTAGAAAAGCAAAGAATGCAGCAGGTCTAAAATAGGGGACATTAGAGAATGACGTCACCAGCACCCATCTCAGGATCACAGATGGCAGCCCTTCGTCATGTTCCCCAAAGAGTCTTGTTTTTGTTGTTTTTAAAGAAGAGCGAACGTTCCTGATGAAGTGGAGATGCCCTTTGCAGGCTCCCCAGGGGGCCATCCCTCTGTCCCCTGCACGTCCTGAAGCGTCAACCCTCCTCCCCCCCATCTTCACTAACATGGATGTGGAGTCCCCGCTCCGCTACGTGGATGTGAACTTGGGTAACCTGGGTGTTCCTGTGTGCTGCCCCTTGCTGGAGGTGGTGTGTCCAGACGAAGCCGTTCTCTGCTCACACGCCTCAAGGCCACTGGTGACCATGCCACACCCTTGCAGACATTTTTGTGTGACAGGCAAGAAAAACAGCCCCAGTGTCTTGTTATGACACCAGGTGACGCTCTGTGTAGTGGGTGCACATGTGAAAGCACTTCTGAGTGACTATTTAAAATGGACATTTTGGTTTGTGTTTTGGTGTCTTGAGACATGGAAGCCCCTTGTGGTGCCCTGGCCCTGGGAAGGCAGGTCAGGCTCTGTCCTCTGCTGTCCCCATCCCGGTGTTAGCAAAACTGCTCTTTGACCGGCCTTGGGGCTCTGGTCTGAAGGATCGGTGTTAAGAGCTCATGGGCTCTCTGTTTTCTGTTTCAAAGTCGTCAACAGCTCCCCCTCTGACTCGCGGTCCCTCTCCATCCCCCCTCTGCTGCGAGTGTGTGGTGTTCTCAGAAGTGACAGACCACGTAATTCTCACATGTCAGGGGCAAAGCCAAAGCCCTGGGCGCTGCCACAGGTTTTCTGCAGGGATTAAAATAAAAGTCTGTCGCCCCTCGGCAACAAGCTCCCCTGCACCTCCTGGGCACCTGTCACCCTGACACTGGAGGGCGGCTCCGTGTCTGCCAGGGAGGACGGCCCTGGGTCCCTCTCACGTGGCTCAGACTCCCCTCTCCTCCTGCAGGGACCGCCATGTTCCCAGTTGTCGCCAAGGTTGTTCATCAAGATTGTGCCTTGCCAAGTGGCCAGGGACCTTGGCAACCTGCCCCGTGTCTCTGTCGAGGCCTCTACCTTCTAGACAGCACAAAATCTACCCAGAAAACGTTTATTTGGAGTCCAGGAAACAGAATAGAGTCGTGTTTTGAAGTGAGGTTGAGACTTTTTGCTGATTTTGAGTGTGTGCATGTGTGTGCGCGCACACTATAGTGTGTAAGAGAACAGGGGTGCACATATGTATATGTAGGTGAAAGCAGGTTGTGTGCTTTGTGTTTGCTGCGTGTATTGTATGTGTGTGTGGGTGTTCACTGTGCAATGGATGTATACGTGTGCCTGTGAGAATGTGACACATGTATGCATGTGTGGGTCTTGTGTGCACGTGTCTCTGTATACCTGTGTGTCATACACTTGCACGTACATGTAAGGATGTGCTGCGTGAGGGTCCATGTGAGCTTTGTGGCCCTGCATCTGTGTGTGCATGGGTATCTGCCCCTGCATGCTGTGCGTATGTGTGTTGTGTGAGTGTGCGTGTGTTGTGTGGGGGGTGAAGGATGAAGGGGTCCAGAGGACACTGCCACCTCTCCCTCTTTCCCTGATTTCCAGGGCTGCCGCTACCCAACCCCACCTCCACCCCAGTTGGAATGTCCTGCCTTGATCAAGAGCAGGGACTATGGAGGCCGTCTGGCTTCCGTGTCAGCCCTCGGCTCTGTTGGCCTGCAAAGGTGGCCGCAGCTGTCAAATGTCACAGTGGCTCCCACCCTGACTTCACTCTGCCAGCCCAGCTGCTGGGCACCTCCACCCACTGCCCTGCCCTCAATGTCCTCAAGGTGCTAGGCCTCGGCCAGGCAGGGCCTGCTCCATGTCTGAGGCCAGCATGTGTCCCAGTGCCCAGGCCTGGGAGGTGTTACCCAGCTAACGAGATCCCCAGTGGCCCTGATGTCCCCAAGGGTGTCCCTCGGAAGTGTAGGCTCTTGCTAGCCCTCAACAGAAGGTATGTGGACATGGACTTCTAATGTCATTCACAAAAATCTCTTTTTTAAAAGTTTTTGAATCCTTAGCTTCTACTTATTTGAGCTTTCCTCTAGTTTCTTGAAATTAGACGTCATTATTTCTTTCATAGTTTTCTTATCCATACACCTGAGGCTATCAATTTGCCTTTCAGTGCAACTTTGGCTGAACCCCACAGTGCTCTTGCCCTTCAGTTCTAAAGAGCTAAAGGTTTCCAGTTTGATTTTTTCCCTTTAAGTCAAGAGTCATTTAGATGTATGAAATATTTCAAAATTATAGAACTACACAGTTTTACTTTTAAAAGTTCAAACTTGCCTATAAAATTCACGTAAAACTCAGTGTAAATCTCTTCTTTTCCAAGTTGTTAGTGAATTATTTAAGCCTCAGAGGCTACCACTTGGTGAGACATTAATATTCCACGTGAGAATACTGTGACAGTGGGATAATGTTATGACGTTTAGGGTGCTGCCTGCATTTTCAACTTTTGCAAAGGAATTTTAACTCTAAAAGTATTTAGTGCATGTGCGCTGAAACATCATCCATCTTTCTTATTGGCTACCTCTATAATAAATCAGTTTATAAATTTGAATTTGTATAATAAGCAAATGATGCCCTTTTGAAAGTTTTAGGTATTGACATTTTGGGGTTTTTGTTTGTGTTTTTGAAGAGATCAGCTCTTCAAGCAAGCCCACACGTCACAGATGTATTCTAACCTCCCATTGGCATATGGAGAGAGGATGATCTGTGGCAGGCAGCATGTGCCAAAGCGCTTCCTGGATACAGTGTCTCTCCTGCTGGCATGATCTCATTCAGTTGTCGCCGTAACCCATGAGGAAGGGCCAGTGGTCTCCTCATTACAGAGGAAAATAGAAGCCAAGCAGATGCAGTAACGTCTGGTTCATGCAGTGACAGAGTGGTAAAGCCAGCTTTAGCTTGGCAGGCCTCACAGGAGCCCCCATCTTGGGAATTTGCTTCATCTCCATTCTACAGGTGGAGATGATGAGACCCAGAGAGGGACAGTGACTTGCCTAGGAGTACCCAGCGGTAAAGGGTGGGGTGTGGGGTAAGACAAAAGCCATGGGATCCCAAGGGAAGTGACCTGACTGTGCAGTTGAAGGCTCTTGACTGACTGCTCCCCCCCCCTGGGGTGGAGAAGGTGTAAACCTGGGTGGACGCACCCCCACTTGTCTGCCCTCTTTAGGAATTATTTTATTGGAAATGTAGAGTGTAGCTGTTTGCCAAGATCTAATCCATGATTACCCACCATGTCTCATCCAAGCTCATTAAATTAGATCAGTGTGCGTGTGTGCGTGGGGTGGGGGGGGGTTGTGCCTCTGTGGTACTGGGCTTTAAGAGATCGGGGTAATTTTCCATTATGACTTTGCATTTAAATAAACGGAAGCAGCTTCATTGTGAAAACACTTGTCTACTATTGAGCAATAAATGTCTAAGTGACATTGGCTTAATTACTAGTCAGACCCCTGCACTGGCTAAATAGAATTGTTTTGGAGTGTGTTCGTTAGACGGGAGGAGGCGGAGTTTGTGGAAATAATCTGCATGCCTTTAACTCTGCATTTGAATATGTGCATTTGTAAATAGACGCTCACTTATTTATAGACACGGTCATTACAGAGCTTTGTGAGAGCAGTTTCTCCGCACGCTCCGAGGTTGGTGTTGGGGGGGGGACCCTGGTGTGGTGCACCCACCTCCTAAACAAATGTCCCCAGTTAGGTAATTATATGATGAGGACGTCCCAGCTGCATCTCTATTTAAAACCCAGTTTCTATTTCCAGCAAGACCATTCTTCTAAAGGTTGAGACGTCACCCTTTTATTTTGCTCACATTAAATATCAAAAATGTATCATTTTTCTCAAATAGGCATCCATGTATCCCAGCAGTCCATGGTTGTCCACCAAGGGATAAGAGAAGCCAAGCGTGAGGAGAAACCATCTTGGCTCGCCATCTGTCTGGCCCTGAGCTGTGGCGGTGTTTCCGCCTCCCAGCGGGGGGGACACGCGCTGGGTGGAGGGCAGATCATTAGGCCAAAGTCCTGGTGGTGACCCAGCTCTGGGCAGCCTTAGGAACCTGCACCCCCACCGTCTCCTTCTGACCCTCCCGGAGTCAGGGGGCTCCCATCCTGGCCAGGTGGAGGGAGGCTTCCAGGGGGACAGGAGAGGGTCCGGAGCACGGTGTCCCCCAGCTCCTGGGCAGTGGTGGCCTGAGCCTCCACCGTGTTCACGCAGGGTGTCTCTATTTGATCTGGGGTTAGGCCGCTTTCCAAGTTGGCATGGCACACGTACGCCTGAGGCCGTGCAAATCAGACCCAGTCGGCCTTGAAGTGGCCTTGAAGCACGCTCGTGCCAAGAGCAGGTCAGATTTGGAGGGAGGGACGTCAGGGGGAGATGGGCGCCGGTTCCTTGTTTCCTTCTTTCCCTTTTCATGGTCTCTGATCTTGTGAGCACGTCCTTTCCCTTCTCCAGCTGTGTCTTCGTCACTGTGCCTGAAGATCACAGCGTCTGGTTCACTCCATCCACCGGGGAACGGGGTCAATGGGAGTGATCACCTTGTGAGATGCTGAGCAGCGGGAGACTCGGGAGCGTGTGCCCGGGAGGATGCTATGCCCTGGGGAAGCTTCTAGAAGGGGGCAGAATGTTCCAAAGTGGGTTTGGGGTCATTTCTACATCTCCTCAACTCTCAGGTCTGCATGAGGGACGTGAAGCACCTGTGTCTGCCGGCTGCCACACCCCTGCTGGGCAGAGCAGAAACCCAAGGATCCTGTCCCCGGGGTCTCCACACTGCCTAGGGCCAGTTCTCACATCCAAATAAACTGAAGGAGCAAGGTGGGTGGGGGCTCCCTGGTCCTCCCACTGCCCCCTGCCCTGGGCAGTCTCTGTCCCTGCAGCCCTCTGCAATTAGATCTGTCTCTGAGCTGCTTCCAGTTTCCAGGAGAACCCACAGGAGCCTTATGCGAACCTGTCCAGGAGGAGAGTTTGTGTGCCCTGAAGAGATGACCCACAGCTGGGGTTCCAGCCATTCAGGGAGGGCCTGCTCCTCCAACTCTGGGCCTGCGGTGTTCTGTTCCTCCCCACCAGTTCTTAGATGGCCTCAGGGGTTTCTTGCCTTGGCCAACCCCAGCTGGCCCACTATGGTGAACTTTATCCAGGAAGATTCAGAGTGATCCAGCTCGTTACCACTGTATAAAATCAACCTGGAAAAGATTGTCCTTCCCCTGGGT